TTATATGTATATGCCCTCTTGTGTGTGGGTGTGTGCTTCTTTCTCAACAGTGTAGAACCACGTTCACATATGTACAGCATACATACCGTGGACCTCGAGTCTTTTCTACTCCCTCACACGCCCGCGCAGCGGCGGCAGTTGATTACGACGAAAATAAAAACGAATTGACCCAGATACCATGGCGACTGTTCGTGAATGAGGCAGTGAGAGCGAGAGTGGTTCACAAGAAGGAAATGGAGAGGGAGTGATGAAATATGGGAGGTACGCACATAACTCACATCCCTGTAAGCAACAGTAGAATTTCCTTTTTTTAAATCCTGGCACCTATTTATCTTCTTTTTTTTTTTGTTTTACTTCAGCGGAGCAGGTTCGGGTATGTGACGCAATAGAGTCCGGCAAACCGAAGGGATGGTAACAACTTCCACGTTTGGGTTTCTTCGAAAACTAGTCTTTATCTCACCTTCCCAGGGCCTCTCCCTCTCTTTTGCTCCATCCATCCCGCCAGCTACTGCTGGGGCGCGACAGCACCTTCGGCATGCGCAGAGGCGACCGGCTGCTGGGGTTTTTGTACATCCATGTAGTTAGCAGCGCCATTGCCGTTGCTGGGGGTGTTGATGTTAGCAGTGGGGCTGTTGTTATTGCCGGGGATGTTATCTTGCTTCACGCGGTACGGGTTTCCGTCACCCCCGCGGTTCCCACCGTGCGGAACAGCCGAGAGTTCTTCAGAGTTGTGGGCAAAGGCGCAGTAGTCGCCCCACGTGCACTTCCCTCCGTTTTGGATGTTCATACACATCTTAGTCTTGAGCTTAGTACGGTCAATACCACGACGCACGCGCCCTACACGATAGCCGGAACCCTGATTCATTCGCTGCATCACCTCAGGGGGTATTTGCCAATGTGTCGTGCGGGTGTTGTGGTCAATGTAGTACGGATCGCCTTCCGGTGAGTATGCCATTTGCCACCCAATGGGAAGCTGCATTGAGCCGTATGGGGCCACGGCACCACGATCATAACGCTGAGGGTAAGACATGCTGAGCGAATTCAGATGTTTTTTTCTTGAATTGTGCCGAGTTTACACTCTTCTTTTGGAATGCCAAAAGGGGGAACCAAAAAAGCAAAAAAAGAAGAAGCAAAAAAAAAAATATGAGAACCCTGTGGCCATGGTTCTTAGCCGGTGCGTGTGTGTGTGTGTGTATGTGTCTCTCTCCATCTCCCTCTCCCTCCCTCTGTGTGTGTGTGTGTGTGTGTGCTGATACGTCGAGACGTAGACCTCCCCCTTGGCGCGCACACACACACACACAAAATACACGGACGAAAAAAGAAACAAAAAACTATTTCAGCAGGAATCACTTTCCTCGTGGGGGAAGATGGGCAACGCAAAGGAAGGAAGGGGAGTCAGTACAACGTGCTCTCCCCAGACCACCGCCACCACCACTATCGTAGTAACAGAGAATACAGCAAGCACCGCGGCAGGAATAACGCACGCGAGATCGACTCGATCGCTACCAACTTCTTACCGCAGACTCGCACAACGCAGCAACATTTTCGGGGCCACGACGTGTTGCGGTGCCCCCTCTGCTGGTGGTGAATGGGGGGAAGACGACCGTCCATATTCCGCATGTTTTTCCCCGACTCTGGGGTGTAGCACACTCATCGTTGAGTAGCTGGGATCATGCCAACCACAACATGGGATTTCTATCTAACGGATAAGCCGAGCAAGACAGAAAGAGAAGCGCGATATATAAAAATAAAACAGCAATTTAAAAATATTTGGTTCCATTTTTATTCTTCACCCTGTGCACCACAGTAAGAGAGCCCTAAGCGATTTAGTAGTACCATTCCTACCATCTCCTTTCTGTTACAAATGGAACGGCATGATGGCTTACTTACACCAATATCGAAGGTGTGCCAACACAGACCTCACTTTTTGAGTGTGCGGTACAGCTTCTTGGGCGGGCGTTTCGTGCTGTTGTTATTACTGCTGTTGCCTTCGTGTGACTCCCCCTCCGTCTCCTCGCGGTTGCGGCGCAATGTCTGCCGCAACGTGGGATCGAGTCCACCGCCGCGCTTCTTGTCCTTCTCAGACACATCCGAGAGCCACGCCTCGGCCTTCAAAAAGGCAACATTTTTCATCGCCTCACGAAGCTGTGCACTGCCGCACTGCATCATCGTATCCAGCACAATGCGACCGGCCCAGGGCGAGATGGCCAGTTCGAACACAAAGGGTTTCAGTTCGTTCATCAAGCGCTTGCGCTGTTGGTCCAGCTGACGGCTACGACACTCACGGAGAAGAGCCTGAATGACGTAGCAGGCCTGGCTGTGGAGCGCGTAAGAGACAATAGCATGGGAGGTAACCTCATAATGTTTCTTGCGGTTCATCTCGCGCACCTCACGCCGTGACAACTTCTTTTGCCCCTCCTTTTCATTTTCCTCGTCTTCACCATTCGCTTCTTCCTCTTCCTCATTATTCTGTTCCTCTTCGTCCCCTTCATCCTCTGCTGCATCAGCCTCATCACCGTCAACATCGTCCCGTTCTTGTTCCGCCTCGGCAATAAGAGTCTCAATCACCCTCACCACAGCCTCATCTGAGGCGTATGCGACGAGTTTCTGCATCACGCGAGACCCCTGTGCAAAGGAGAGCATTTGGTGCATATCAGTGAAGGAGTCCAATAGGGCATTCACCAGCTGTTCTCGCAGTGCGCCGCCACTGCCATGTTGTAGCATCGCCCCAATCAGGTATGACGCGGCATTGTGGGTGACAAGCTCCTGGAGGTCACCTTTGATATTCTTAAAGATGGCCTGACCGGTGGACTCGTCCTCTGGAAAGCACTCCAACAGTTTTTGCAGCACTGGCGATGAGACGGGGTTCTGCGAAAGCGCGAGAGCCACCTCCGCCAATCGCAGCCGGTGCGACTCCGTAATGAACTCAGAGCGAACTTCAATCATGGCCCGAAGAATCATCGTGCGTGCTGGATGCTGCGCAACGTCAACAATGTCAAGCGTCGCACCATCCGCTTTAGTCATCGCGGCCCACACCCGCCCGTGGGATTCAGGGAGCGTCTTCAGTGCGGCAACAGCCACAGCTACAGTTGCCTTGTGGGACACCAGGTGCTCAATAAGATCAGGGGCGGACAGCAGGGATTCCCAGAGCAACTTCTGTTGAGCGAGGTCACCCTTCTCAAACAGCGTCACGTAGGCATGATGATGTCGCGGCAGTTCGCTCTCCCCGCCAGTGCCACTTCTTTTCGGTGGTGCATTCCCAAAGTCAGGCAAAACGAATTCTTCTTCCTCCGCCTCCCCAGCTGTTGGTACCGGGGCTTGCTTCGGGTCCAAATATTCGCTCGCGTACTCGCACAGATGTGCGCACAGAGCATCCTTCACAGACCCCGGTACCAAGGGGTGCCGCATCAATGCAGAGACTGTCATGTTTTCATCGACGGGTTTGAAGAGTAAATAAACATTATCCTCTTCAATTTCGCCAATGTCGGTACCAAAAATCGCCTTTGCAACAAGACTCCAGCCATTTTCTTCACATTCCATGTACTTGGCAACCACTCGTTGTCCGTATGGGTGCACCGAGAGGGACCTTAGATGCGGAACGAAGCGTTCTTCCACCACTTCGCGTGAGGCGTGGTACTCCATCAGTTTCTGCGCCACGTGGTTACCAAATGGGTGTTCGCAGAGACGTCGGAACTCATCAAGTTCGGTGTTAAGAACAAATACCTCCGCAATTTCTTTCTTTTGCTGAGGGGGAAGTTTGTCCAACATCTCTTGAACAATGATATTGCCAACTGGGGATAAACTGAGATCAGAGATCTTACGACGAATCTGGTAAAGCATCTGTACCCGAATCAGGTTATCACACTTTGCGAGGAGTGAGAGGAGGAGATGGTGTGTTGCCTTACTCATGCACAGTGAGTACGTGTTGGGGAGAAGCTTCTGCACCACTTTGGCTCGCTGTTCTGGCCTGCCGTACAGGATTATCGCCTCCACCTGCTTGAGCGGCAGCGCTTTACCCGTCGCAGCTCGCTGGGAGGTGTTCTTCAGAAAGTCCAACCTCATACCTGGCATATCTACTTAATTATCGTTCAACTCGAATCCTCCTCCTCTTTTCTTCTTCCTGCGTCGCCACACCACCCTTCACAAGTGAGAAAAAAAAGGTGTGGAAGAGCACCGAAAGAGGGATATTCAGTGGGGAGAGAGAACAAAAAAAAAAAAGAGGAATCGTTTGCTGAATGGAGCCGACGTCTTCCTTCCAGCACACATACGAAAAAAAAACTATAAACTCAACCACCTTTGTACAGCAAATATGTTTATACATCAAGGTGTAGAGGAGCAGCATACATGTAAAATAGAGATAAAAAACTAGATGACATAGAAAGGTGATCCGGAACAATAGCGAGGAGTGGAACAGCAGCAAAACTGATTTGCCAAAAAAAAGACAAATGTGCAATGCTTGCTTGTACCTTGCACCTTTCCTCGAACCTAGAAATTATTGGACATGTGCACTCCCTTGTAGCATAACTCACCACACTTTGTGTTGGACGCCGCGGCTGCCTCCGCCGCGGCCTGCTGATAGAGCGCCCACACCGCCGCGATCTGCTCTGCCAGCAGGCGCCCGCGCTCTACCACCTCCGATCCCTTTAGGGCCGCTACGCCGCCGTCCCTGGTCTCGCACGAACCCGACGAATTAGCATCCTCGCAGATGGACCTCGGGCGCCAGAGGCCGTGAACGAGATACGCAGGGCAGAAGGGTACGTGGCGCGCGCGGGCCAGAGCACAAGCGGCCCTGCCCGCGCTATCTCCCTCACATGCGGCATGCACACATTCCGCCTCACCAAGCGCTGCTAGTGCAGGGTTGCGCAGTCCCACAAACGGGTCCCGCTCCACTGCTATTCCCAGCACGACATTCAGCATCGGATGATGCGGAACACCATTCGAGTCACTGCCCCACGAACTGCTTGCTTCGTCAGCTTCAGTGGCACTGTGGGTCGCCGCTGCCTCTGAGCGCTGGTTATTGTTCGCCACAGCAGAGACTGCAGACGACCCCGCCAGCACTGCTGCTGCTATTCGAGCGGAGGCCTCGTCCTCCCTCTGCATGAGGGCAGTCTCCAGCTGTTCAGCAAGGGCCTCGCGCTTCTTCAAATCCGCAAGTCGCGCAGCTTCATTCTTGATTTCAGCGTCATCAATCTCCAGCTGCTCGGCAACGGTTTCACGCCTCTTAAGATCCTCAATTAGCACAGCTTCATTCTTGATTTCAGTGTCTTCAATCTCCAGCTGTTCAACGGATTCGCGCTTCTTAAGATCCCCGATTTGGGCACTTTCAAGATTCATTAAAGTGTCTTCAATCTCCAGTTGTTCAGCAACGTCTTCGCGTTTCTTAAGATCCGAAATTCGCGCGGTCTCATTCTTGATCTCACTGTCTTCACTATTCATAGAGCTTTCGGCGACATCCTTGCACGCTTTCAACTCTTGCATCACCGCGCCTTCCTCTTTGACGTTGACGTCATGTTCAGTCTCAACTGTGGCAGCCTCACAGATCCCAATATCCCCCATCCCCGCAGCCTCATTCTTGGCGATGACCTTGTATTCGAATCCCTTTGCCAACGCCTCATTTTCCAGCCGCTCCATAATGGCTTCGCGCTTTTCAAGCTCCTCCAACTTCTCCTCAACCGCTGCCAACTCTGTCTTCTCTCGCTGCTGCATCCGCCGTTTGGCCTCATAGTAATCATCAACTCCAAGTGCCATGATGGGAAGCCACGCAACCGCCTCCGCAGCGAGTATCTCTTCACGGGCGGCAACCTCCATGTTCTCCGTCTCCTGGGTTGAGGAACAAGTTTTCCTCTCTGCGTAGCGCAAGTTTTTGATCTCCTGCCATGCCTGTTTACCTTCAGCCATGTACGACGGCTCAGGGAAGACATCCGGCCATTTATCTACCTCCGTGGTGGTGGCATTGGTGGGTACCGCCTTGTTGCGTGTTGACGTGGGAGGTCCTCTCCCTCGAGTGCTGCGGGCCGCGCCGTATCGTCCGGTCGGTTTCTTTGGGCACAGACGCCGGCGTTGCCCACCGAGGAACGCAGGTAGCTGCATCCCGAACGGGCAATTCTTCCTGAACCATTCAAGGAGATCGGAGAGCTCTCCTTTCTCCTTCTCCATGATACAATTCCGGCCATCTTTGTACATCGGCATAATTTCTGCTGTTTTCTTCTGCATGGCATCCTGCAAGCGCTTCTGAATACGGCTCAAGGTTGACTCCATCTCAATCGTGTAGCACATACGCCTCCGCTCTTCATCGCGTTCAGATGCAGTCCGTGCCTCCTCTTCCGCTGACTGGATATCCACCTCGAGGAGGACGCAGTTGCGCTGAAGAAAATCCACCCACAACTGGGTCCACTCACGCTGCTCAGAGAAAACGAGGACATCTCGCGCCTCAGACTCTTCCTTTAAAAGACGCCCCTTGCAAGCCAATTCCTCCTCATACGTCATCTCTCGTGGTGTGGTTTCCCCTGTGGAGAGACACCTAGGTGTCACGATTTTCTCCGCCGCGTTGCCGTCCGAGGGCTTGAATCTCTGCAAGCGTTTCGCAACGGAGGGATACGCGTTTTGGCGTATAACTGGTCGATATGGACTCGGCGGCTCCAACGGCTCCCAGTTGATGGTCGTCGGACTATCCCATGGCGGCAACTTCAAAATGATGTGCCTTGACTCCCCTGGGTCATCGCTGAGGTGCGTCCCCCGCGTGTGGCATGGTAGCGGCGGCAGGAAAGAAAACATCATACACTTCTCTGCAGTGTATAGTGATGACAAGAATAAAAGAGCTTTTAGAATTGTGCAAATGGCAACGCACGGCGGAATAAAACAAAATAATGAGACATAAACGCCACAACAGCATCATGTGATAAGGGCATAAGGAAGTGATGTGAGAAACAGAGAGTTGCTGATTTCAAAAAAAAAAAGCTACCAACCATTGTGCAACGGTGAGGAAAGAAGTCATGTGCACTCTTGTCCTTCCCTTCCCTTTCCAGACGCACATACAATTCCCTCACGCTTTTCCCAACTCATGCCCGTCGACGGGACATCAACCACCACCACCACAACAACAACAACAATAATAAAAAGTCAGTGAAGATGTCCCACCCACGCACGCACAGACATCCTACCGACGCAAGGTAACAGGAATGCCGTTCTTTCCAAGCGCTGTCCTCCGTGACCACAGACTCTGCATGGTGCCATTCTCCATGACTGTTGGCTCTGACTGAGCCCAGAAATTTGGATCGTCACCCATATTCGTAGATCCATCGGGACGGTGACGCGCAGAAACACGCAGCTCAGATGGCTTCCTGGCGTGGTACGCAAGAATTGCCTCGATCTCCTCATCCGGTGGAGCAGCAGGCTCCGCAAGGCCACGGGACTCATAGAACTCCTGCACCTGAATGTCCCACTTCGTCTGAAAGAACGTCACAGCGCTCGGGTCAGGCGGTAGCACGCCATCCACATCGCAGAGTGTTGACGACGCTGCAACAGAGACGCCTTCACGATGGGGTGTGTGCAGGCGGAAAGCGCAGCGCGCAGCGAAGCCTTCCACCGTGTCGTCCATGGCCTTCGTCACACTACTCACGCGCTCATATTGTTTAAAGAGCATGCACATGTGGCGTGTCGTCCCCGCATCCTCGGTTGGAAGCGGCGGGACATATGGCACAACAACGTCGCCCTTCTTCTCCATACCAGCCGTGTTTGCAATAATTCCATTTGCCACGTGCGGTTGTATGCCATTCCCGCCACCCGGTAAGTTCACCACCATGTAGTTCAGGAAAAATCCTCGTTCCGTTCGCCCGTCCACCTCGGCGGGCACACGATACGGGTAGTCAGGGGATGCAATAATAAGCGTGTACCACTCGGTGCCTTTACCTGCTTCAAAAAAGAAGATCGAAGGTGGGTGTTGCACATCCGTCAGCTCAATGTAGTTTCCACTGTGGGCAGTCATCCAAAAGTTACGATGGTTAAGCTCGGTGACAGGTGGTGGTGGCGGAAGCACCTCACCCGTCTCTTCGCTCCTGCGCGCCCGCGTGGCGTAGGTCCCTGGGAAGACGACAGAAAGGTTCACGTCCTGGTGCACGTGGGGCACATAGTGAGGCAGCACCTCATGCTTGCGGAGATACTTTAATGACCGTTGGTGGTGATTCCTCCATGAGGGCGACGCGGCGTGGGGCACCAGCAGGCGATGATCTTCCGCAGGGATCGGCGGGTACGACGTCCGCTCAAAGTCAGACACATTCCAGTACAGAAAAAAATCTGGGGGTGGCGTCAGGTTGAAAAGATGTGGAGTGTCCAGATCATTCTCGTAAACGGGGTACTGAAACATGGTGTCGCTCAGCACCGTTTTTTCGTACGGGTACTGAAAATCATGCAGGGCCTGCGGCCGTGGCAGCTTCTCGATCTGGCGTGCTTTTCGGTCGGTCTCTCGCTGCTCTCGTGTCCTCGCGTCCTTCGTGCTGATCTTCGTCTTCCAGCCAGGCATGTGGTAACCCCGCAGTGGCATCACCGCCGCTACCGCTGCCGCTGCCGCTATCGGTACACCGTACGCGGGGCGGATGGAGCCGCCGACTCGACGCATTATTTAACTGCCCGAAATGTATGGGCAACAAGCTACACTCTTCACTACTACTCACGCTGTGTTGCAAATAAACCAAATCAAACAAAAAAACAAGGAGATAGAATTATTATTATTATTATTATTACTATTATTATCATTATTTTTATTATTATACATAACAAGCTCTGGCTATGCTACACAAGGCAAAGGTGTCATTTGAACAGCAGAAGCCTGCAAGGAGGCCCGCGCATCACCAACACCAAGGGGGATAGCGTGAAAACAAGAAGGAGTTGGTAACATAAAATACGTATGCACATTTCCTCCTTGGCGTGTTCACCAACCCATTTCTCTCGTTCACTTCCCACGCATGGCCATATGAGGCACTACAAAAAAAAAAAACAATAATAAAAAATATCGCAAGAAAGATGCTCATCATTCAACTTGCTGATCAACTAGTTGTCTTTAGATACATTACCTAGGAAGGCTTTTTTGTAGCGCATCCCTCTACATTGTCGCTGTGGTAAGGATTCGTCCTCTGAGACCTCGCAGGCACGGTTGGCGGCGGCCCTTCTTCTGCGCTCAAACGACAATCGCTTCTCCACTAAATTAGGAATGTGCTCCTCTCTGTACCGCCGCATACTCTCGTTGTGCGCCTCACTCCGCACCTCACCGTACACCTCCGCCTCCATTGCGACGGCGGCGGCCTTATCACCGAGGGGGAGAAACTGCAGCGCCTCGTCCTCGAAGAGCTTCAGCCGCCTGTAGTCCTCCAGCACATCCTTGCCGAGGAAGTTATTCCCCTTGAGCCACCTATCACTCGACGAGTAGCGCATCATGTTCTCTCGAAACATCTCGTACGCCTCGTCGTCAGGGTCGCCGTAGTACGCGCGCAGCGCCGCCGTGTAGTCAAGACAACTCGCCTTTGTGACGGGGTCGCGTGTCTCCTCAACGCTGATGCCCAGCAACCTGGCGAACTCCTGCTGCGACACGTCAGGGGGGACGTTCCCGTGGCGGCGAGACGTCGCCTGCCGCATTTCGATCTCGTGTACTGGGATGGGCTCCACGCCATCCTCCGTTGCGAAGTCGAAGGAGAGCTCTAACTGCTGCTGCTTGCTTGTCACGGCGCGAGAGTCATCTCGCAACGCTGCCGTGCCGGCATCCTCCATGAGACCGTGAGCGTTCTAAGACGAGGGGGGGGGCAAAAGAAGCACAACGCAATTGTAGGCAATCAAACACGGAATTTTTATTTTCACCGCCTGGAAGAGAACAGGGGGGGGTGGGGGTGGGGGAGAAGAAGAAAACTAACCAAGGCACAAAGGTTTCTCTTCGCACAAGGCTCCTTCTGCTTGTTTAATTGCCTGGGAGTGAGGAAAACACGCAATCCACATCGCTTCCGCCTGTCTCTTTTTTTTTCTCTTGACCGGAGATTGCTGGTTAAACGCGTATCAGCAGCTTTACACCACATCTGGCACACACCCACACCCACATATAGCTAGATGGAAAGAAACTGATGCGTCGATGTGTCGTGTGCTCAGAACAAATCTTCTAGCAGTTCATCCTTTTCTTGTTTGCATGTTCGGAGGAAGGCAAGTAAATTGCACGGCTTCTTGGCAACCTTCGTCATGGCGAAGTACTCGGCAGAGACCTTCTCCACACTGTTTTTCTCCGAGCCGAACACAGGCGATGAGGAAGCGTAGACAACAGGAAGGAACCAGTCATTCGGCTGGGGAACAGCCGTGAGGGCAGCCGATAGCAGATAAGGGGGCGTCACGAGCGGCACCTTCATCACGCAGCCGGGCTTCGGCCAGTACTGCTGCACATCCCAGTATCCCTTCAGACGGTCTTCCAGGGAGACCATGCGGAGCCCGTATGATGTCGGCCGCTGTAGTATTGCGCTCATTTCATCGTTGCCACCATGCAGCATTGACGAGAGCGACTTTCTGGAATCCGCCGGAAGATTGTAGTGCTTCTCGTGTGTTGCGATAGAGTGCAACGCCATGACAACGCGGCAGCGGATGGTTTCATCGTACGGGTTGAGTCCACTGTGCTCAGAGAACAAAGTCATCAGCTCAGGGATGAGCTGCCCAGCTACGTAAGATTCATCTTGCAGATCCTTTTCAATGTAATCATAGACAATTGGATTTCCACTCCAGTAGGCACACTTTTGCAAGAAGTAGGAGATCTCGTCGAGGAATAGGTTTGCCACCCGGCGCTGCTCCACCATGATGCAGTCATTCAAGCTGATCACCGCGTGTGGAATGTTTGGAGGCGAAATGAGCGGGCGTCCGCCACTCTCCAAGACCGCCACGTGGATGATTGGCAGCAGCGTCGCGTCATTCGGAAGTGCCTCGTCGGGCGTGGCAAATATATCCAGCGCCGCCACCTTCCCCGATGCAGCGGTTTCGTCATCGTGCATAAACCAGTCATAGCTCTCCTTTGGGCCGTACAGAAATAGTTTGACAGGTACACTCTCTGGTGATTCGTCGGTGCAGTACAGCTCATGGTCAATAGTCGCGTAGTACGCACGCTGCTCCCCTGGTAGGGACTCGAGTGCTGGCGGCATCGCCACATTTGCCGACGGCGCAAGTGGCAATCCTGTTTGTTCGACAAATTCACCAGAGTCGTCAAGGTGCCACCAAGTCACGGCCCCACACTGCGACAGCCGGGTCGCATTGTCACAAATAGCGCCGTCCTCCAGGAAGGAAGGCCACACTAATTTCTCCCCCAGCACTGGGATCGGCGGGCAGACAAACGGCTCTTGCCGGTGAAACATCTGCAGGTTCAAAATGTTCGGTGCGGCCACGTCATCGATCGCCTCCTCATCGACGGGTGACGCTGTCTGCACATCAGCGTTCCCCTCCGTCTTCGGTGTGTCTGCATCGTGATGAAAGACCTCATGGAAGGAGGAGATGAGCTGGTGATACGCAGCGGACTCCATATTCGTGCCCGGCCCAGCCCAGCCCGCCTTGAACGCAATCTTGGGCTTCGGGAAACTGTTCCACCGCGCGTCCGTCACAAAACCCATACCATCATTACCAGTGGTCTCGTACACAGAGGCGCTGCGCCACCGACCAAGGCGACACGGAATCCCACGATTGAGGAAACTCAGTATTTCCTCTTCCTTTCGTTCGCGGTGTGACGTCTCGTGGATCTTGGGAACAATAACGCAGCGCCACTTTCCCGAGACTCCTTCCAATGGACAGCGGGCTGGCAGCGGCACGCGTGAGAGAACGTCTCGAAGGGGGTACACGCGGAGCCCGTGATACAGCGCACTGTTGCAATCACCGCCACCAGCTGCCATAGATTTGTCACCCGAAATTAAATCTACGCAGCAGTCAAAAAAAAAAGGACTAAACGAGAGGAGAGGAGGGCAACAAAACCAATAATAAGAATAATAATGATAACAACATATGTATATATATATATAT